AGTACCTCTGTAAGTGCTCTTTGTTTGAGCTCAGCAGAAACAATGGAGAGGAACAGGCACTTTTAGGGCAGTTTGTCCAATGTATTTTTAGATGTCCAACTCAGGGTGGATGAATCATGGCTCAAAAGCGTGTGCTCCTCTCCAGTGACTATGAAAGGAGTCTGGAGAACTGTCTTTCGTGCAGATAGTTACATTATATAGTTTGGCAAGATGAACTGTGGCCTTTAAAGATGGGGGAAAGGCAGGAAACAAAGCAGCACACCCTTGGGTTACACTGAAGTACCCTCCAAGTGCTCTGTGCCTCCCTCCCCCAGAAACACCTTGTACCTAGATGATACACAACCACCTTCACCCCTGGGCTTGGCTTTGCTAGAAGAATTTCATTCAGTTACTGAACTTGCATATTTCACCAAATATTCCTGCAAGAAGAGCTGCACATTGCTGACAAGCCTCAAGAGCCTCCAAGAAGCTGGACATGCTTCTTGTGAGTCAGCTTTCCTTCCTTTCCCTGCATCATTTAGGTGGTTATTAACAACACAAGCCCATGCAACACAGAGGTCTCTAATGGAAATTGAACAGAGTTTCTCAGGTGTCTCTACAACCACTTCACGGATGGATGTACAGGCTGCCACAGACCAAGGGGTACCCAGTGTATTCCTTCCCCTCTGCTTAAACCTTTTGCTCACCAGCTCCTGGTCTTTATCCTGGCAACCAACAGCTCAGAAGTTTCAGAAGGCAGAACTTTTTCCTGCAAACCCCACATTTCTGCCTCCTCCCTACACTTCCACAAAAGTAATTACAAGTGCTTTGTTTTCCATCTTAATTGTCATTTCCTTTGATAGAACTTACAGCCTAAGTCTTAACGCTCAGATAACTAATGCCATTCTTTTCTCTTCTTCCTCATCCCTGGTCACAAACAGTATTGCTTGTACCAGGGTCAGCAGTTCCTTAAAAACCTCTCGAGCCAATCTGTGCAGGGCTGCATTGTGCAGGGAGTTATCAGCAGGCTGCAGGAAGGTTAGAAAGCAAACATGCCTCTCTACGAGACCAAAGTTATGCCTGGAGTCAAAGCCCCGTCCTGTTTCCCCTCCTGTGGGGAGATAACAGCCTGTTCTACACCAGCTCTTTCCCCCACACAGCTTTCTGCCGTGCACACAAGCTGGGCTAAACAGAAGTTTTAGTCCCACTCCCTCTCCTGTCCCTGTCCTAGTCCCTCTGCACCTCCACGGAAGCAGATTGTTCCATCTCCTGCTGTGAGTACTGTCATTTAGGTGATCTACAGAGGTTGTCTTCTTTGTACCCTCACCAACACCAGGAGCTGTGTGTGATCCATGAAGGTGGCAGGAAGCTGGCCAGTATTCAGCAACAGTGTTTAGTCTGCAATCCTGTCGCAAAGAAAATGCTCCGAACAAGAGTGGTCTCTCCCCTCTCAGCATTATCCCAAGCCAAAATACATTCATCCTTCACAGTGACTGCTTGCTACTGGCACCCTTCATGCTCTGCAGGATGCAAGTCAGTCCAGGAAGTGTAAGGCAGTCAAATTCATGTCCTGTGGGATAACATAAGCTGTATTTTATGATTCATAGTCCAGCAGCTGTATGTTCTACCGCAGGTATAAACTCCTGCTCCTCCTGCAGGAACTGCAAGTCAGCACAAAGAGAGTGGGGTGAACATTGCCTGTCCCTTAACATGGATATACCACTGGTACTCCCATACATTTACACTCCTGACAAATTCATCCACACCAGCTGAAGTAAAAAACTCCCTCTGACCCAAGTCAGGTCTTGATTCCTCCTCTAGAGAGCAAAAATAGCAAAATCAGATCAACCTGCTCTGCCAGTGTCTACATGGCCAACTCTGCCTCAGTTACAGGAGTCCCCCACCCAAACCGTCCAGAGATGAAATTCAAGCAAGGAAAGATTAGGTGAGAGGTGTATGAAATGTCACCTTCCCTTTAATCACAGCTTATGGATCCATCCCAAAGCATTACTCATGCAGTGCTCCACACTCCACATTGTGTATAATCCCACTGCCTAATCCAGGTACTTGTTCAAACAGGCACGTTGCTAGGAGTGGGTCCTTGCCATCACTGGGAGCATTCCTTCAAGACCATATCCTCTCCCACATGCAGAAGTACCATGACAGCTCAAAAAAACCTGCAGGAAAGGCAGAGCAAGCGTGGTGCACACACAGCTCATTCCTTCAACAGGACACAACCATGGCCATCCTCTCCCACGCTGCCAGATCGTGTTGGGGAAACACTTCAGTTGTGGTAAGCAACAGATAAGCATCTCTGCACCGACACAGAAAAAGCATCTCAGCTGGTAGATTTTAAAACCGGTATTTATTGTGCCTCAGGGAAGAAAATAAATTGGCTAAATGGGCTGAAAGGCACAGCTTCACTAGGAAGAGCTTGGATTGTCTCTTCGCATCTTTCGGCACAAACCCGGCCATTGAGAGCCCAGATCTAAAACAGAGCTGCAGTTGCTAAGAAAACAGCGCTGCAAACAGATGTCAGGAGATGATTCATGGAGTAAAGGCATATCCCTGTACTACAGATAAACCAAAATGAATGAGGCTCTTTATACCTGATCTCCCAAGCTGGCCTTCTTCACACCCGCTTTGGGACTTTTTCTTTAGTTCCTTTCTGTATTCAGATGTTGAGGAAACTGAGCAGAGCTGAACTCACTGTTTATGGAACAATTACTAGTAAAGGGGTTTTACAACGTGCATGATTAACTCAATAAATGGGCTAAGTTGTGGCCCATTTTTCCCCTAAAAGAATGCAATTTTCTCCCAAAGCATGCAAGCAATCTTTCCCAAAACATACCACGAGGAGTAACAAAAAACACAGATAAAAACTGCAAAGAAACAAACAGTAACTGGTTAGGGGTTTTTTTCTTACTTTCTCTTTCAACATAAAACTTAAAATTAGCAGCTAGGGAGATAAAGCATTTTCAAGCTATTAGATCACTAGCCAGCAATGCACACTGCTCCTTGAATTACTTCATTGTGTCTCTGCTTAAAATCTTTGCCTGACAAATAAATAAAAAATAGCTGGCACACTACAGGACTGGTCAAGTGCTACTGACACCAACAAAATTCTCAGTTACTTTACTGAACTTTTAGTCAGATTTAATAGGAGAAAGATTAGCTCCTTCCTTAGAATATCCAGAACCATGTAACATCCTGAGTTGGAAGGAACCCCCAAGGAGCATTAAAGTACAGTTCCTTCGCCCCTCTTGAACCACCATGCTCAAATCTTAGCACTGTACGGTATCAGCAGCACTTAACACAGGGTTTCCTGAGGGTATTTGTAAGGAAATGTTTAAATAAAGGAACTTTAATACGTGTTTTTGTAGAAAACTCAGGTAAAAAGGTAATTATCATTCATTACCATTCATTAGGAAGCAGGGAAGAAGGAACATTAATTTGTACATTTCTGAATAGGTGTTTGTACAGCATTTCACATGATGGGGGCCCAAACATTGCCAGTGCACACATCAGTACATGGTGACACGTTATTGTGGTCACTGCTGGTGCTTCACCTCCAAATTCCAGTGTCACCACCTACCCCTCTCTCTTAACTCATCCCCACTGCCACCACCTGCAGATGCCAGGGCTTCCTCTCCTCTGCCACCTCCTGCTCACTCCACACCACCCCATCCTCTCTTGCTGTGACATGCTGCCTTCTGCCTCGGAAATCAATTATTTAGGCTGCCCTGATTTCAGCGAGAGGTGGCTGTGCGTGCAGACACTCTTATTGTGAGCAGAGTTAACAGCTGCCACCACAGCTCCCTCTCAGAAGTGGCTGAAGACCGTGACACAGCTACCCAGGCGCCAGCAGCCGCGTGTTGCTTCTGCAGGAATTGCATTTCACACAGAGATGTAAACAGACGTGCCGGCCAAGCTACGGCTCTGCTCACTTGGCCAACAGTCACAGTAACGAGCCAGGACGCTGCACGTGGCACTTACGTCTTTGTCTGTCTGTCTGTCCTGCAAGGGCAGATCACCCTGTGAGCTGAGAGGGAGGAAAACTCAGGAATGACAGAAAGAGGGGGAGAGGACAGGCGGGACACAGGGAAAGAGGAAAGCAGAGGCATGAGGAGCACACAGTCCCAGACATGACAAAGGCTGTGAGAAACTCCAAAACTTGCTCGAAGTTTTCTCTCTGGTAGATTCCCAGTAACTTGAGGAGGGTGCACCTGCTCTACTTCCTGATGCCTCCAGCAGCTCTCAGGAGAAACAGAGAAGAACGATTCAGTTTGATTCAGAACGATTCAGACTGAGCCCAGGTGTAGCTCTGAAGGTGAAAGGAGGAAAAGGAGCCTTCCCTTAAACCCACAAACACACAGAGCACCTGACACTAAGCCAGCACCAAGTTACAGACAGGGAGCCCCACGTGCGGCATCCCACGGGCTGGAATAACACAGATCCGTAAAAACTGCTCCGAAAGGGAGCAGGCGTCTGCCAGGAGCCCTGGAAAGACGGGAGGAAGGGAGGGAAGGCAGGAGGGAGGCTGGCAGCGAGGCGGGAAAGAGAAAAGAGCCCATGTGCAGCGGGAAGCACAGAGCGCGCGAGTCCTCAGCGGGCAGCGCTTCACCGGGGCAGCAGCGCCGGCAATAAAACAGCGCAGGGAGGATGCCGCTGCCTCCTGCGGCCCTCCCAGAAAAGCAGTCGCTCCCTTTTCCCGAAAACTTTGCCTGAGTAAGTTTGCACGATTAGTTCCTCAACACATAATCCAAAGAGATATCGACGTTCCCAGCGGTACCCACGGCTCCCCGGGGAAGCGCCGGTCACCTGCCCGCACCCCCTGCGTGCTCCCCCGCCGCGGGACAAGCCGGTCCCGGGACAAGCCGGCTCCGGCCGGAGCTCCTCCGGCAGCGCGGCCCCCGCTCGGGGAGGGCAGGGCAGGACCGCGGGGGCGGGAGCTCGCTCCAAGCCCGCTCCAAGCTCGCTCCCGCCGCCGGCCGAGCCCGCCGCGCACCCTCCGCGCAGCCCGGCGAACTCCCGCCGCTGCCCCGCCGCGGTCCCTTCCCCTCTTCCCCGGCTTTCGCAGCGCTGGGAAAGGGGGGGGGACGCGCTCCGGGAGCGCGGTCTCTCCATCCGCGCCCCCCCGCGCAGCGATGTCCCGCGGGGGGCGCGGGCGGTGCCGAAGGTGCAGCCGGCACCGAGGGAACAAAGGCGGCGGCGGCGGGGAACAAAGAGCGGCAGGTACCGGCGCGGCGGAGGGCGCGGGCAGAGGAGCGGGGCGGCGGCACGGGCGAGCCGGGGCAGGGGCCGGGCCGGGCCGGGCGGACAACGCCGCCGCTCCCGCACAAAGGCGCAGCCGGGGCCGCGCCGCAACTTCCCGCGGGCGGGTCCCGGCGGGGCAGACTCACCGCGGGCGCAGTCCCGGCATCGGCGGCGGGCGCGGGTGGCGGTGCCGAGGGCGGGAGAGAGGAGGAGGAGGAGGAGGAGGAAGGACGGACCGGCCGCTCCCCGCCCCGGCCG